ATGAATGCCGACGAGGCGGCCATGCAGAGCTACGTGGGCGGCCTCGCGCAGTGCCACGCAGATTGGTCCAGTCTCGAGCACATTTGCGGAGGATCCCTTTCCTATGTCGGCGACAGAGTTTACCCCGGTTGAGCGCGAGCAGATGATCGTGCCCAGCGAGGGTAGCTGGGGTCATCCGGACGTGTGTCGTCGCCCGTGCATTCATTTCATCTCCGGCAACTGCGAGACTGGTAAGGCTTGTGCCTACTGCCACCTCCCGNNAAGATGGCCAAACTCGACAAGAGGCAGCGTGCTATGGTTCAGCAGCTCACCCATCGGGAGCTTGTGTCGATGGTGCTCCCTCTCTGTTTCCGCAAGGCAGAGGAAGGGGGATTTGCTGAAAAGGCTGGAGAGTTGCTCGGTCTTCTCGAGGTGGATCGTGCCACATCCTCAACCCAGCCCATCCCAGGCCGCGACCTGCGAAATTTGAGCAAAGCAATTTCCCGCCTGAGCTTTTCGAGCCTGATCGGTCTGGTTGCGCGCAAGTCACCTGACCAAGATGAGGACTCTTCGCTTTACGCGGCTTCCCTTATGGCAGCCTTGGAAACTCTTCGTTCGCAGGTCCGTGTCCGGCCTTAAGGCCCCGCCGACTAAAATTGTTTGTAACTTGACAGGCGCAGCTGCTTGGATTGAACAGCCATTCCGCATGTCAATGTTCGATACAAACTCGGTTTCAATTGTAGGCACATGGCCAGACGTTGGTCACGTGGAGCACTTTGAAACCGTACAGATACAGCTGCTTGAGCTGCATGTCTTTTCCTGGCACTGAAGAGCTACATGGCTCTTCACTTCCCCGCGAGTGGTTGACATCTTGCTCTAGCATGATGCCCTAGTTTGCCAGGCATGAACGATTTTTTAATGGCTACGGGTTGGCTTCATACGCTGACGTCAAAGCCAGGCGTGGCTTGCCAGAAGTATGCACCGTAATACTCAGAGTGAATAGCCCTAAGCCCTAAATCCATCAACCCTTATGTTTGCAAGCACGTGGCTCTTGGATGCGTTTAGTGCCGTCCAAACGAGCAGGAGATCCAGATTTCCAGATTGGCACGGGGGGTTTCCTTGAATCTGACCAATAGGCATATCATGATGCTTGTTTTTTGTATATTGTAGTTCCTTATATAGGCCCCTACCAACTGTCCCTCAGAGTATCTAGAATCGACGGAACATAGTCGAAATCTCTCCGGACACTGGTGTCTCGCGCATTGCATTTGGTGGTTGTGTAGCAGGAGTAGTGGTACTAGTAGT